TGCCATGGTGTACGTCATAGCATGGAAAGGGTTAACGACCCACTGTGGCGAAATTACTTACGAATCATGTACCGTATTGTGCTGTTACAGAACAAATGAATAGGTTAATGTTGAACTGCATAACAAAAAATCATAATCACTGGAAGTGAACTTATAGTGTGGATTTTTTAAGTAGTTTTTAAGTACTTACTGTTTAACTTGTTACCGACAGCGCGGCAGCCAAAAATACAAAACACTTATTATGAAACAAACATATCTTTATTGAAAACTTATTTACACAAAAAAATATACAAGAAACTTAAAACTCGAAACTATGTCGATCACATTCTTGACTTCTTCTTTTATATATTTTCTTTAACAAACAACGATGAATGCCTTGATGGCCAGTATGCAACCTCTTTGGCTGTATATATACTGCTTGTCAGCCAAAGAGGTTGTATTTTGCACTCAACACTTACTATAGTGAATCTATGTATTTGCATAGTATGTTATTGTAAAAATTGTAAAGGTAAAATAAATGAATTGAATTGAATTTTACTACGTTTCAATTCCAGCTTTCATTTATGCTTTGCTTCTTTTCTTATGAAAATTTTATTTAATTCTATTGAGTTTAGGGTATTATAGTTTTGACATACAAAATATGTCTCACTGTTTCCAATAACTAATTCGTAAATTCAATCGCTATCAAGTTTTAGCCAATTGAATGGTTAATGAAAAACCTAGTTGACTCCTTTGCCAGATTTCGTTTATACATTACTAGCTTTCGCCCGCGACTCCGTCTGCGTGGAATTAAACAAAAACAAAAGTAAATAGTCTATGTATTCTTATAGACTATCATCAACATCTAAGCTAAATTTCATCGAGAGAGAGAAACATCCATCCATAAATGGAATAAATAGTATCCTATGTCCATCTCCTGGCTCTAAGATACCTCCTCACCAATTTTCAATCATATCGGTAAAGCCGTTCTTGAGTTATAAATAGTGTAACTCACACGACTTTTTATATATGTAGATATCAGATTACGATATAAAAAATAAAAAAGTCAAGTATAGCATTTATTGCATTGTAACGGGTATGAATTTAAGAGACAACGGCTCTCCAATCGATCTTTATGCATGCCCGCTTGAATTGCGCGTGCGACGCGCTTATATTGGCCACTTTGAACGTTTAGTGCTCCATGTATTTAGTAACTTGTGATTTAATGTTTCATTTAGAGGCAGACAGAGAAAATTTAATTCGCATCCCACTTATTAGTCATACACAGGTTTGCACATGACTCTCCTTACTAACACTAACTGTGCCTCGCGCTCATCTCTTAGTGAATTAATAATTAACTAGCTTTCGCCCGTGACTCCCCCCGGGTTGTAATTAAAAATAGATGATTGAATAAGCTATGTGTTCTTTCAGACTATCCCCTACATCTATGCCAAATTTCATCGAAATCCGTTTAAGCTAAAAAAACTCTAGCAAACATCCATCCATCAATCTAAACTTTCGCATTTATAATATTAGTAAAAGTAAGATTGTAAATTTAATTAATTATCGACAACAAAATATTAGTCAAAAGTAATTAACGTTTGATTACTAATTGTAATTAGTAAAACGTTATGTTATTGTTCGCTAGTGACCCGGGTATGTAGGGCGTTCGTCCGCGACCACCATTGTCTGACAACATGACGAATGCACAATGACAACGTCACAAGTATACTATCCGATATCGATAGCGAATTCCGTTTATTTTATAAACTAGTTTTCCTTCTAGTCTTCCAGACTATCATCTACTTCTATACCTAATTTCATTGTAATACTTTCAGCCGTTTATGCTAGAAACTCTTACAAACATCCATCCATCTTAACTTTTGCATTTATAATATTAGTATGAAGTATGATGGCATCGTTACAACATTATGATGGTTCCAAAGTTGGCATTTGATGACACGTATCGCTTGATGTAAAAGTATGCGGGGACGAGGCGTACATCTTATTATTTTAAATGCGAAAGTTTACTGCCTAAACTGCTGAATGCAGAATTTCGAAGGAATTTGCCATAGATGTAGAGGATAGTCTGGACGAACACATAGATTACTTACTTTTGTTTTTTTATTCCACAGGGACACACTCGCAGACGAAAGCTAGTTTGAGTATAAGACACTGCAAAGACATGTATTTGCTTACCCCGAGCTGTCATAAACTTTGAGGCTTTTAATACGTTTTTTTTTTTTAATAAATTTGCAAAGTATTTTGTTAAGACCTTTGGTTTAATGATAGATGTGTCCAAACCATTCTTATAAATATTCTAGTTCCAAGTTACTTTTGTTTAATTTACTGCAGTTTTTAGTAAATCACTACTCTATTTTTACCTTGAATAATTTTACATAAATAGAACGCCTTGAGAATAATAAATACATTTTATTTACTAATATAAATGACCAAAGCTGTATTTGGATTTTTTGTCTACTCAATGTTACTTTTTTATTTTCTGTTACCTGAAAACTAGCTAGCACGTAGCCGGTGACGTACTTCCGCACCGGAAGTCAAGGTGAAAAAAAACTCCGATTCCCTCAACTAATGGGAGGATGTTCTTTTTTTTGCAACGTATATTTATTTTAGTGTCACCAAAGACACTTGTCCTTCATTTTTCTATTAAAAATTTGAATACTTATGCTGATTTTGAATGATCAATAATTTTAATAGAAAGTTATTTTTTTATAAATATTCACGGTTACTGGGACTGGTTCTGCCGTTATAAACCAGTGTAAACACGACTTGGTTCCGGTCTGGAAGCGTGATAAATTACTAAGCCGGAGTAGTATAACATGCCTTATGATGAATAATTACACAAAGTACAGAATTCTGTCTCAGATTGGTGGCATCTTTCTCACTCGATGATAGCGTATAAGGGCGGCAAAACTTGCCAGTAACTGACACTTTGCTACATTCTTCTGGCATGTAGGAGTCATGTGTAAATGCTAAAAGACATGCATGTACAATCAGGGAAACTCGTGGTGTTCCAAGTTAAAAGTACAATCGTTTAAACATTTAGAAATGAGACACGGAACAACAACGCTGCTCATAATTATATTTGTACGAACAAAAAGTCGGATAGCGTGTCGGTTTGTCTTTTTTGATATCATCCCTTTGTTTTCACCACTCACTGATATCTAATTAGTTATTTGTAGAAGAGGCAAAGTTTGTCTTGTTGCAATGAACAAGGCAATTTTGCCTTAAGTGGAACACCACGGATTGCCACGACTGTACTTATCATGCAAATGCTAGCACGATATATGATTTTGTGACAAATACGGGCATGTAAGTTGAGGGAATGGACGAAATATACGTCTAGTACATGAATTGATATGCAAGCTACTGTTAGATTTTACTGGCTTGTCTATACACATTGGGACAGTTATAGGCACTCACCAGTAACTAAGCGTGCAAGCTGTTACTCCATTTTACTGGCCCGCCCTAACCACAGGAGTCAAGTCGTTTAAGGGATACTATTAGATTTAATTTGTAATCTATATTTGGTTTTTATGTATCAGTACACACATAGTTTGTGAATGAGTTTACTATTTACCGTCGGCTTTATTTCGGCAGTAAACGTTTTATGGGGGTCAGTGTGCGCAGCGCGGGCGTGGTAAGATCGTTGATCTCACTTCCATTTCGTTTGGCATACTTCCCACATGTGGGAGTCTAGACTAGGTGCCTAGATAACATATTGATTAGATTACACGCACTTCTTATTACAATCTTACTAATATTATAAATGCAAAAGTTTGGATGGATGGTTGTTTGTTATAGTTTGTAGCCTAACGAATGAACGGATCTCGATGAAATTTCGCATAGTTGTAGAACATAGTCCGGAAAAACACATAACCTACTTACTTTTTTTTTAATCACGCGGACGCAGTCACGGACGAAAGACAGTATTGTTCATATGGTACTTGTTATACTCTTCTATTTTATTGAAGGCATTTTTTCCGACTTCAAGCTGACTAGATGAATTATTAACAAACTGTTTATGTTCAATTATTTTTATTAGCATAAAACAGAGCGGTTTTACTAATGTGAATTAAGAAGTAACCTAGTTTCTTACGCTCTTATGTGATATAAAAAAAAATTATTTAAATTGGAAGTGTTATTAATTGCTTTTTATGTAGATAAGTGGTGCATAAAATTATTGAATTACATTAAATGATGTCCTGTGTCTGTTCCCACTGCTATATCCCAGTGCCCGTAGATCTCAAACAAGTGGCATATTATAATGTCTATTTATATCCCGATATCATATATTATGAGGGCAACAACCTAACTAAATTGATTAATAGGGCGAGAGCGGGCGAATGTTTGCTTCAACGTTGGAGCCAATTTAATATTCTATTGTTCTATTTATAGTTACCAAATTCCTGTTATTTTACGTTTAGATATAAAGTATAAAATAAGTATATTGCTAACTTCTAAAGTTAGCAATATACTTCCTATTATTAAATCTTCAAAATTAATATCGTATTGATTGTCACAGATACGAGCCGTCTTTGAAAAAGATCATGTTCTTGTTAGGGTCATTTGTTTAAGAGCTGTAACAATGCGTGATTTATACAAGCATGCTTCGATGTTATTTATAAATTAATAAATTCCAGGATCCAAGGCAGAAACTATTTAACCATATTAGACAACAAGTCCTGTCTAAAATCCTCCAATGCAGGTCCTGCAGAGAATGTTTCGCCAAAATATAGCCTTTATGTTGGTCCGGGAATGGCGCAGGCTGGTATAATGAAATTCCGTCATCCCTCCCAAAACGAGAGGGTGAGGTCGTAAACTTTAACACCCTGTATATCGAGAAATAAATTTAATGCCCTCGAGCCGAGTCTTTAAATCACTTTTTCAAAACTTTCGATCCCGGAAGATGTACATTTTTATTGTTCTAGTAAAATTTAGACCCTATTTCTATTCAGTTAATGACTATTATCTTAGTGAGAATAATTTATTTGTTTCAGGACGAAGAATCCTTGGAGTCGAACCGACCAGTCGCCAATATTACCCACCATAGCATTATGTACGCGCCAAAGTGTCTCGTCATTGTATCCCGACAGGATTACATCGATACGTTTCGGGTAAGGAAACTATCGTAGCATTCGATACTTTGGTATTGCCAGCCTGTAGCAAAGAAAGTTGCCAGTATACGTCAGAGGACTAATTTTAGTCCCTTTCTTTTTCCAACCTTTTCTTAGAAAGGGATGAGAAGGAAAAGTGGATTTCACGGTGGAGGAGACGCATAGGAAGGGAAAATATCCTTTTTATGTGCGTCTCCTCCTCTGTCTGTTAAGGGTGGGCAACGGATCTGCAATTGCGGATGTCTATGGGCAGCGGTCGTTTTGCCATTTCGGCGGTTTCAGGTGGCCGGTTGCTCATTTGCCACCTTATAATAAAAAAAGTTAATTTTATGTATTATTGTTAGAACTGCCTGGGTATAATCTACACGGTGTGGGTTGAGAACCTGGGCGTTCCGCTGGAGACGCTGGTGGGCAACCTGGTCGGCTGTGTGCTGGTGCCGGGTGCTGGTGGGCCTCAGGTGCGGTTCAGTATCGGTGCTGGCGACCGGCAGGCGCTGCAGCCGCCCGCAGCGCCGCCCATGCCAGTCACACACACCGCTGTGCACATGCTGTTACGACTTCTGGGTAAGTGTGCATGTACCCTTATACTAAAGGAGGATTTTAAAGTTTGGACGTACAGTCGCGGATATCCGCGGTGTTCTACTTTAGGAAAAAATACCTTGTTTATTGCAACGAAACAAATTGTGCATCATCCTACTAAACTTATTAGGTAGACTGCTACCACTACTTGCACTGGCAAACGAAAGGATAATAATAAATAGAAAATAATCGTGTATCACTGACCGATTTTATTTTTCGTACAGATACATTTATAAGCTGCGTTGATTGGAGTTTTGTTTCGCGTCTCGTTTCAAAATTTAAAATACCACTCTGTGCGATCCTCTGCGACATGGATGGCGTTATGAATAGTCGAGTGTGGTGCATATCTGGTCCGTCCAGCACATACTTTTAGGCTGAAGTTCCCAAAGTATTTGGATAACAAAAACGTCAGATACCTTCCGTTCTGTTAATACATTCCGATTGCTGATAAATATGTATCTTTTTGTTTTTCGCTGGTCTTATGTTTCTTTATACGATGTTCCAGGTATCCACAATTCGGTGACCTTATGGTGTGCGGTGATGAGCGAGCACAAAGTGTTGCTAGTGTCTCTCGCTGCCGCCCGTTTGTCTGCGGCGTGTCGAGCGCTGGCTGCATTAATGTTCCCGTTCCGCTACGCCCATGTGTACATACCGCTGCTGCCCGCTGGCCTCGCGGAGGTGCTGGCCACACCCACGCCATTCCTAATAGGTGTGCATTCCAGTCTTAAGGAGGAGGTGTCGGAATTGGTGAGTGGTACATAAATCTATCACTGCACGAGCTGTTCTCGTGCTTTATCTGCATGTATAATTAATTTTATTGTTTACGTTTGTGGAATTGATAATTGCAAATGTCAAAATTCAAGTGCCCAAATAGAAAGCCTTTGATCTTTGGCAACCTCGCTTCCTTGATGTTGTCACCTTGAAGTTTTTGTCCCTTCTCCGCATGACGTTGTTTTTTTTTATTTTACCCTCTAAGTTTAATAGTATGAAATAATGTAGCCTAAAGTGTATCGTAAGTGTAGTGCTTTTTATTAAAAAAAAGTATTATTTTTAAAATATCATGTTTGCTGGCATTCTACATAACTAAGTAGTGAAACATAACTTATATTTTCTCTTTTTTCTAATTTGTCTCTTTCAATTTCCAGTTGGACGTTATAGTAGCTGACTTAGATGTTGGGTCGCTGCACATCCCCGCGGGAGTGAATATCCCCCGGCCCGAAGGCAAGCTGCTCAGCTCGCTGCAGGAGGCTCTAGCGCTGGTGCTGCAGCCCGAGCTGCGCTCCGCCGACTCGGCCTTCGCCCCCCCACCGCCGGCCGCTTCGCCCCCACATATGCTGGATAAGGAGATACGAGCTGTCTTTATGAGGACTTTAGCGAAATTGCTGCAAGGATATCGGTAATTATTCCTGTTCTTCTCTCTGATAATTACCTACAAATGTATAGAAATGTGGCAGAAGCAACCAGTGAACAAGACATAAAAGCTTTTCTTTGCAACTGCGAAAACGAAACTTTTTTTTTAATTGGATTGTGCTTTTAAAAAATTATATAACAAGGCACAAGAATGTCGTAAAACGGAAAGATTGGGATACAAAGGAACGAAATGCATTATAATTAGGAAATACTAGCTTTCGCCCGCGACTCCGTCCGCGAGGAATTAAAAGAAAGTGAGTAGCCTATGTGTCTTTCTCGACTATCCTCTACATCACAACACAACACAACCAATTTAACAGTGGTAGTGCCCGCTTTAACATGTTAACACTGCAGGGCACGCCCGGTGTAATACCACGACCACACAGAAGACAGACGTGAAGTGGAAACAATTCCATGTTTCGTCTGATGAGTGTGGTGCCGGAGGCCTAATTTAAGTCCCTTCTCTCTTCCCTTTTCTCTTTACCATCCTTTTCTTATAAGGAGAGGTTGGGAAGGGGAAGTGGATTTGACGGTGGATGTGATGCATAGGAACGGGAAATGTCCTCTTGATGTGCGTCTCCTCCTTCGTCGTATAATGGTAGGCAACGCATCCGCAATTGCGGATGTCTATGGGCAGCGGTCGCTTCGCCATTTTGGCGGTTTCAGGTGGCCGCTTGCTCGTTTGCCACCTTATGTTATAAAAAAAAAAATCAATAACAAATTTACTCGAAATCCGTCCCGTCGTTTAGGCTACTCTTAACAAACATCCATCCATCTATCCATCCGTCTAAACTTTCGCATTTATATCATTAGTATAATAACGTTTAAGTTATGACTAACTTTAAAAGTATACGGTATCAGGTAACGTATCTGCAATTGCTTATGTCTATAGGCAGAGGTGACTTTGCCTTTTCGGTTAATTCATGTAGCTTTTTGTTTGTTTGTTACCTTACAAAAATTATTGAAATGTTTTTTTCTGTATTCCAGACACTGCCTGACGATAATCCGCATCCACCCGTGTCCAGTGCTGACGTTCCACAAGGCGGGGTTCCTGGGCGGGCGCGGGCTGGCCGCCTGCGCCTTCGCCGCGCGACTCCTCGACTCCATGTTCTTCAACGGCCTGGTGGCGGAGCGCGGCCCGCCGTGGAGACCTACCGATATATTTGATGAACTTGTACAGTTAGTATACAAATTATATGTTATAGGTTAAAGTAATTATTTTAATCCTCTGGTTCTTTTGTATATTACCTTAATTAAGTTATAAATCATGTTTACATCAAATTCTATGTAAATATACTTCTATACTAATATTATAAAGAGGAAAAAGATGTATTTATGTATGTATTGAAATAACTCAACAACTGGACCGATTTAAAAAAAAAATCGTTCACCGTTAGAACGATAATTTATATGTAAACAGGCCATATTTAAAAAAAAAATAATTTCACAGACGAAGTCGCGTGCAACAGCTAGTAATAATATGTATGTTGCATAAAAATGTTTGATTTCAAATAACTTTTATAAATGAACAGGAATTTACCGGAACAACTACGCCTAGAATCTCTGAATCCGGATATAGAGTTGCAGCACATACAGGATCTAGCTATGCAGTTGCATCTCAACGAGAACCCTAATCCACAGGTATTTCATTAGTACTAACAATATTTTCGCTAACGAACGTTATTAAAATAATGTTAATATCGTACTAAAACAAATATTTATGGTACAAATCAATTGGAATCGATTTTTAAATGTTTGATATTGGTCCTTCGAGTCGGACCAATGAAAATCTGATGGCCACACTACGCAATGCCTATATCTTACACAATAGTTGTTTTTTTTTATTATATAAGGTGGCAAACGATCAAGCGGTCACCTTAATCCACCGAAATGGAAAGCGACCGCTGCCCATAAACATCCGCAATTGCAGATGAGTTGCCTATCCTTAATTGACGGAGGAGGAGATGCACATAAAGAGCATATTTCCTCTTCCTATGTCTCCACCCACAAATCCACTTTTTCATCTCATCCTTTCATCTTTAGAAAAGTGTGGAAAGGGAAATTGACTAAAATTAGGCTCCGGCACACTCATCAGACTGTACGCGAAATGCTTTCACTTCACGTCTGTTTTCTGAGTTGTCGTGTTGCTTGGGGCGAGCAGACCCATTCGTGCGAAGATGTTAAAGCGGGCTCTACCACTGTCATATTTATGTCAAGAAGGCATTACTTCCAGGTGTACAAAACACGTTACAATTAGTCGGTCACTGCAATTTGAAATAGGGAATATGCATGTATTTTCTTCTTTTTTTAAACGATTCTACTTGTTATAAAATAACCAGAAAAAAAATTGACGCAAAAATATTCAACCTTTAAAGCTAAAAATAATAAAATGAAACAAACATTTTAGAGCGACTAAAACGCGACCGGAGTTGTCAATAGACAATTGACATCAATCGTCATATTCCATTCATAACATACGCTCAGATGTCAATTCGACGTAAAATACAACAAAGTTTCTCACGGTCAAAAAGTCAAAAATAGATTCATTTTTATTATTCTTGGTACAAATAAGTGGTAATAATTAAATTCTGTTCAATAATTTTTTTATTTTAGAGTTGGTTATATCATGTTTACAGTAAAATACTTAAAGAGTGTATTTCTATATAAACTAACGTAAATGAACTGTGTATTGACAACAAAGCGACGCCATATTAGATAAGCCACTTGCGTCGACCAATAGTGTGCGTTTTAGAACTTAGCGAGGGAATTTGAAAAAAGACACTTTTCAATGATTAAATTTTGCCACTAAATCAAATTATATTAAAAAAATCTTTGCAGGAATGTTTTTATAGTAATAAGGTATACTTAAAAAAAGTTTGGTGCAATTTGGCGTCATATGCATATTGCCTATTGTGTAAAATGTAGACGATAGTTAGTGTGTGTGCGAGCGCGTGGTGAGCCAGTGTCAGGTGGTGTCGCAGGCGTACCAGCAGCGCGTGCTGCGGCCGCCGGCGGGCGCGGAGGCGCGCATCCACCAGCCGCCGCTGCCGCCGCTCGACGCTGACCGCGTGCGTGACGTCATACGCGACGTGTCGCAGCGCAACGCCAGCAACGCCAAGTCAGTCCATACATACTTTTTAATAGATTTTTTGTTAGTTTAATAATATTTCTCTCAAAAATCTAACTAAGCTCTAGGCTTAGTAAACGACAGCACTCGAATGGCGGGATTTAAACCCTCGTCTACGTGATCGAAAATCCGTTTGCCTAACAATTAGGCTATAGGCGCTTATAATGTTTATATAATCTGTTTACATATCGATTCAACATTATAGAAATATAGCATCTGACTTCAATAAATGGATAGGTTATAAGACGTGATCTTGACACTCAAAGTCGTCCTTACTGCCGGTGGCTGAAATTTAAACTAAGAATAGAAACAGAATTAATTATCATTGACACCAACAAGCGCGTTTAAATGGAAACGACACTAATGCTCTCATTAGCAATAAAAGACCTATCTATTTATACAGATCGATGGTTAGATCATTTTATTAATTGGTTACGTAATATGTTTCAGATTGACATCATTAAGGCCGCCGCAGGCGCGGATAGTGCCGCCCGCAGCGCCCCCCAGCGGCGGCGAGGAGCCTGGCCAGCTGCTGCTGACCAACTCGGCCAGACGACTTGAAGTATGTACTCTTTGCTTAGATTAGCAAAGTTTCTATTGACTTTAGTGTTGTTTAGACATTCAAAATATATAGAGGCCGCATAGATACTACACTTGAGACATTTTTCACATAATAACTATCGCTATCTATTGATAACCTCAAAACCATATGTCAATATAATTAATTGAATTTAAATTAGCTAATAGATGCCATTAAATAATATTTTTAATGTTTGTTTTATTTTGTAATAAAGGAGGAACTTATAATTTTGTAAAATGTTTTATTACATGTCAATATAGAGGTGGCACTAAATTTAACAACTGATATAGTACCTTTCAGAGAAAATACCGAAAAAAAAAATGTTCACTATGCCTATTCTATATATTTTTATATGTATGCAATACAAGGACACTAGGTGACAACTAACATAGTACCTTTCAAAGAAGTTACCGGTAAAAAAATTTTTACTATGTCTCGTCTATCTTTTGATGTCTTTATCTTGAGTTCACTATGCCTATATATTTTTTAATCTCTTTCATGTATTTCCGTAGGTGTTACGTGCGTGCGTAGCTGCTATCTTCGAGGGTCGGTACGCGGACGCCCGTAAATCATTCCCCGCGGTACTGCGGGCTCTGCGCGCGCCGGCAGCTCGAGCAGCGCTCGTCAGAGACCTGGCCGCGAGGCTGCCCACCAACAAACATCTGCTGCAGCATCACCAGTTCGAACTACTCGTCAGGTTGGACACCTTATGAAGTTACTAAAGAAAAGATAGAGGGCGCAACGAACGTTCATACTCATCTCCCCTTATCGTAGTGTCGATGGTCACTTTTTACGCATTTCTTTCTATGTCTACCTCTTCCGGTGTACCACACACATAACTAAAGTTCTTCTTACATGAGATTCATCATATGAAATACACTGATCTGTATTAAATAGATAGGTTTAAAATTACCTTTAAATCGACTTGTCCTATGTTCTGTATTATATAAGAAGTTGAAGTTTTGTTCATTTTAATAAAAAAAAAAAAAATACACAGGGTATACGATACATGTAATTTTAATATATTAATTGATTTCAATCCTCTTCGTCTTCGTCGTCGTTTTTGACGAACTTAGCGGCGACTTTGACGCACGAGAACTCAACGCCTTGCCTTATAAGAAAGCCTTTCGCCACAAAGTCGCCGTAGACCGCGTTCTCAGGAAGCTCCTCCACGTTGAATATGTAGTCTTCTACTTCATAATCACCCTGTTGAATTAAAATGACTAAAAACGCAGAACTAGACTTGATAAACGCAGATTGCGTTCCCCGCCCAATACCATCAACTAATGCGTGACGTCATAAGTCAAATCCACGAGTAGTATGTACAAAATCAATATTTGATTCCATAGATCTATTCGAAAATAATTATAATTCAAACACTTTTAAGGAATTGATCAATGTTTTTCGACTGCTGTCTTTAAAAAAGATTCTTGTTCTTCTCTAGCTTGTTTGTCAAGCTTGTTCTTTGTGTACTGTCTTGTCTATCATTTGGTAATTTTCTATACTTTTTTTGTACAGTGAAATATCGTTTTTGACGTGGTTTTCTTATGAACTTTTACACTTACCACTGTTAAAGGCCATCCGTCTTTATTCAGCATACCAAATGCAGCTTCTACGTTCTGTTTTGCGTACTTCTCGATGAAGTTGATGGCGCATTCATCGGCTAGTGTCTGATAGGCTTTGCATCCTCCGTCCATGTACTTACAGATGTCTATACGTATCTACGAATTGTATATAGATAATGGATATTACAAGATAACATTGGAATTGCTATATGTACAGTCAGGGAATATGTCAATGAAAGGTATAATTGTTTGAATTTTTTTTTAATATTGACATGACGTGGAACAATAACTAAGATGCATCTTTTAAATGTGTTTGTAGGGTAAAAATTGCTTTTTATTACACTGCTGTTTGTCTCGTTGAACGGTACTTTTCCGTAAGTGGAATATCGTGGATTTCCATGATTGTACACACCGACCTCAACAGGCGTCAAATGAAAACATTTCCCCTTTTCATTCTCTTCTTCTTCGACAACGGATGTCTAGCGTATAACAGTTTATAGTCCATCTTACTTCTTATGTAACCAAAACTGCTGACCGGATCTCGTTGAAATTAGGCATGGTAGTGGTGGATTGTGTGGAAGAACGTATAGGCTACTTTTTTAAAAATTCCACGCGGAGTTTTTAAATCCAGGCGATAGCTCATTAGGGATATTTGCTATATAATCTGACAAGATTGTTTTCTGTTAGTAATAATAATAAAAAAAAAATTTCCCCTTGGGCAGGGGACTGGTGTCCAAAATAGGGTGGTGCCCTGCGTAATGGATCACCAAGCCCCGCCCCACAGACCATAGTGAATCTTACAATAACACACTTAAAAATAAACAGATATGTAGTACTTAGTAGAAATGAACAAGAAATTAGAGCTATATGTTAGGTGTTGGTGTGTAATGCGCAATGTGTAATGTGTAGTGTGTAATATGTAATGTGTTATGTGTAGTGTGTAATATGTAATGTGTAATGTGTAATGTGTAGTAATGTCTTACCGATACGGTGTAATCGAAATCCTCAGCGAGGTAGACTTTGAATGAGAAAGCGACGTGTGTGCGGTTTGCGCGGTGCATGTCCACGTCGATGTTGGTCTGGTAGGAATCGTCCTCTTCACAATGCTCTATAGTAACTATCACCCATTTACCTGGACCCTAATATACACGGAAAAGAAGGAATAAAATCACCCTGATTAAAATAAATGCGGATAATTTATACCTGTAAATTTATTACTTTTATAAGTACAGTAGACCCTTGATAAGTTAAAGTCCAAGGGAAATACAAAATATTTTAAGTTATAAAGGTTTTAGGTTATCAAGGGTCTATGTTATAGAGGTTTTGGGCTCTGATTGGGAAGGGAAAATATTATTTTCTGAAATTATAGAGGTTTTTAAGTTACCGAGGTTTGAGTTATCAAGGTTCTGTATTTTAAAAAAAAATTGAATAATGACAACTTACGAGCATATTATCACCTCGGCATAATATAAAAAACGTAACCAACAGGCTGCATAAAATTTTAAATGATACCATTTTTATTACAACTAACTTTACAATGAATCTTTACAGAAGTGACATTTAATATAAATAAACTTTTTCATATCGTGCCGTGCGATTGTATCTTGTTTTTCATGTTTTCATCCAATCAGATAAATCTGATGAAAGGAATGTTTTATACTACGTTGTGAATTATTTATGAATAAGTGTAAGGTTCTTTATTTGATATCCACGCGATGTTAGACCTTGAAATGTAGCAAATATACAATGTTATATAGCTTTGTGTACAGAACAGAGGACCTAGCACGAATATTTATGAGAAAGTAACGTTGTCAGCATGACATGTCAGTGTGCTTGACGCCCGTTAAAAATATGGACAAATCTTATACTGATTTTGTCGATACCGTTATGATGATTAGGTCTCAACGTAAATATGTTTCATACCACTACGATTTTTTTTTTTATGAATATGACCTGTTCAGACAAATCGATGGCACTAAACGTGTTCTAGATACTAAAAAAGTCTTATTTCTGTTTAATTACTATTAAATTTATACTTATAGTTGAACCTAGATAAGCTAGAAATGCATAAGGACTTTTGTAAGCGAGAGTCATTGTGTGGTGGTCTCTATTGTAAAATGAACCTTATTCCTTTTGGTTTAAAGTTGTTTTTGTATCTATCAGGTTGATGAACTGCGCGCTGCAGTCGGCGACGGCGCTGGACGAGCACTCAATAGCGGCGGCGATGTTGCCGCTGGCCACCGCCTACTGCCGCAAGCTGTGCACCGGCGTCATACAGTACGCCTACATGTGCATACAGGTCGGATACCAACACTCACTGCACTGAAACACGACCACAATAACATGACACTTCACTGCAATGCGACTACAATAACTTCGCACTGCACTGCAACACAACAGTATCGTATACTGCATTGCAACACGACTACAATAACGTGATACTGCACTACACAGCAGTACGAGCACAATAGCATGACACAGCACTGCAACACGACTATAATATGACATAATATAACATGACACATAATATGAGGCGAAATGTCTTGTCTCGTGACTTGTCCATTCGCCATTCGAAGATACATTAATCATTGAGTAATATAAGCTATATTTTACTAAAGTTTAGTAAACAATATTAACCCACAAATTTTAGTAAATAAAATAAACAATATTATTAATTTTAGGAGCATCAAGTATGGACCAGTCAGCAGTTTTGGGAGGCGGCTTTCTATCAAGATGTTCAGAGGGATATAAAAGCCCTGTACCTGCCCAGTCCTACACATCACCAAAGGGTGCCCAGTCCAAGGTAAAAATACTAAGAAAATACTGCATTTTAACATTAGTAATGAACAAAGAGTTTTAAACATATAGAGGAGACATATTTGACATTTCATTTAATATTTTTTTTAGATAATCAAAACCACATGTCAATACAATTTTGTATTTTGTAACACTGTTTAGTTTGTTTTCTAACTAAAGATAGAGCTAATTATAATTTTGTAAAATGTCAAGACAAATACACGAGGTGGCACTAAACTTGAGAACTAATATGTTACCTTTTAGAGATAGTACCGGTGGAATTTTTTTTCACTATATCTAGTCTATAGATTATTTAAGTCTGGTTCTGACATTTACAATAATGTTTGATATATTTTTTTTAATAGAAGGAAAGATAATCGTTACCATTTACATTAACAGTGACATGACAAAGTCTATTTAATAAAAAAATTGTGTTTCAGGGAAGATGAAGAATACATATCATTACTAAAAGCACAAGAACCAAGTGCGTTAGAGATAGCTGCGGAACAAATGAGGTTATGGCCTACACTACCCCCAGGTATTTAGTAGTCCTATCTAAAAATACTCAGCCGATTTTAAAAATTATTTCATCATTAAAACGCTACATTGTTGTTGAGTAACATAGGCCAATTTTTTTAGAGTCATTGATTTTAGATAGACGAAGTCGCGAGCAACAACTAATTGTTTATAATATTGCTTCGCTATTATTTTTTTTTAAATTCCAGACTATAAAGTATTGAGTATTATTTGGTTACATTTAGTGCTTATCCCACCAAATTGTAAATTGTCTGATAATCGAAAGTGTAAATTGTGGTGAAAATATCGGATTTTGTTACCTTATCTGACGTCATTAAGATATCTGTCTCTCTATCAGCCAGTGGTGGGACAAGGCCTTACTATTGTATCTAATTACAGAGAAGCAAGGCGAGTTAATAGCGAGCGAGGAGTCGACGCTGTACAGCCAGGCGATCCACTACGCCAATAGGATGGTGTACCTGCTGCTGCCGCTGGAGGGCGCGGGGCGGCGCGCGGACGCGAGGGGGGAGGACGCCGATAGAGCCAGCAATAGTATTACTAACAGGTAATATTATTAATACTTTATCTTATAAATGCGAAAGTTTGGCTGTATGGATGTTTGTAAGAGTTTGTAGCCTAAACTGCTGAACGGATTTCAATAAAATTTGGTATAGATGTAGGGGATAGTCTAGAAGAATACATAGACTACCCGCTTTTGATTTTTTTATTCTACGCGTACGGAGTCGCGGGCGAAAGCTTGTATTATTAATTATATAAAGAGCAAACTTGCATTTTTAGATTTTAATGTATTGGAATAACTCAACTTCTGGGCTATTTTCAAAACTTACATGATAAATGTAACACTAAAGGACTGTTAAAATGACAGAGTATCGTTAACTGTCCCTTATGAGTCGTTTATTGTTCACTGAAATAGAACCTTAGTGTAGATAATAGTAGTCTATATTACTTATTTTCAAAACTTTGGATGGATGGATGTTCGTTAGTGTGTACTGAACGACTCAATAAAATTTCTTATGAATGTAGAACGCAGTCTGAAAAACACAAAGCTACTAAATATTTGAATTCCGGGTGGATGGGGTTGTATGATGAGTCATGCTGCTGCTGTATTTCAGTGTGGCGGAGTCTGACAGCGCGGACGCGGAGTCCGGCTTCGAGGAGGCGGACCCCGGGGAGGCGGGAAACAACGTTATTAAGATGGTCTCACGATTTGTTGACAAGGTAACAATTAATCTCCTCTTATTCATACCTTTTTTAAAGTTTTTAAATTTAAGCATGCTGAAGTACAGTCAAGGTAATCCGCGGTGTTCCACTTCAGGACAAATTGCCTTGTTTATTGCAACGAGACAAACTCCATCTCTCCCTATAAAAATCTATAGCAGTGATTGCAAATTAAAGGATTATAACGATAATAAACTAGCAGTGTATCACTAACCGACCTTTTTTTGTACAGATTACGTTTCAAAATGTTCAAACGATTGTAGCTTTAAGTTGGAACACCGCCAAATTCCCCAACTGTACATAATATCAAACGGCTGTCAGAATTAAAACGCTTGTTTAACTAGTGTCTTTATTTACTGTTCCCAGGTGTGCACCGAGGGTGGGGTGACTGCGGATCATGTCCGCTGCCTACACCAGATGATCCCCGGCGTGGTGCATATGCACTTGGAGACGTTGGACGCCGTAGCCCGCGAGAGCAGGCGACTGCCGCCCGTACAGAAGGTACTAATATATGTACACTTGACAGAAAAATTAATGACCCTGTGTAAGGGAAATGTTTCCCATACTTTTATTATGAGACGGGTTGTTGTTCGCGACTTCGACCGCGTGAAAATCCAAAAGTAATAAAAATGCATCGCAATACTCAGGGATAACGTAGCTTTTTAATGGTGAAATTATTTTTTAACTGTCCCAGTAGTTTTTGAGTTTTTAATATATATAAAAATCCAAATATGCAAATCTTATTAGAACTTTTACTGGCGTTTTCAAAATAAACGTGGAATTGCTTCCTCTTGACGCCTGCCTTCTGTTGTGTGTGTTTTGGTTGTGTCATTGCGCGAGACGACCCGTTTACGCAACAGATATTGTTGCTGGCGTCTACCAATCTTAAATTTTCTTCTTTCTAACGATAATAGTGATATTTTAAAAGTGTGTGCATTAATGAAAGCAGAGGTTTATATTTTTAGATGTTTATTTCTAATAATGAAATGTAAAATACCGTGAAAACAGATACAGTTAGATACAGTAACATTTTTAAGTTTAGACGAAAGAAACAACGTGTTGGAAAAAGGAAGTTAATTCATATGAAAGTGCTGCCATGTTACAAAAAATCTTAAATTACTAAGATTGCACAGATTATATAAAACTACATGTTCAATATGTATTGAACAAAGTGTAAATAGAATCCATGTGTATGTGTTAGGCGCGTATCGTGGCGCCGAGCATGGTGGCGGGCGAGGCGGGCGCGGCGCCGGCGCTGCGGACGGCCGCGAGTCGCCGCTGCTGCCGGCGGAGGGCGCGCTCTTCCTCACCAACTACAGGCTCATATTCAAAGGCACGCCTATTGATCCCTTCGGTAAGTACTTCATAAAATACCCCCTGATTTATATAAAACTTTTTGAATTCTATGTAATGTCGCAACTTCAATTGACATTTCTGTGGTCAAAGATCAGACAATGATAAGTGCATTTCTGCTCAGTATGACTTATTAGGTGTAATGTCCGAAATGCTCTTTCGTTAGGTCATATCAGGATAATTATGTGCAAATTCTTTATATTTTAATAATGTCTCCAAGAATTCTTAAAGATTTAATTCCTTATCATATTTTATTATACCACCTATGGCCACAGATTTATATGGAATTACATAAAGTTATGAATACGTTATAGTTGCTTCTTGTATGGATAATCGAGGATTCCTTTAGCACCATTAAATTAACTATTAAACGATTCGGAATATCTAAATTACATTAAAACTTAGAAATGTGAATTACTGAAATTCATATAGTTTAAGTATAGTCTCGAGACTGTCCGCGTGAAATTAAAAAATAAAAATTGTAGCTTATACAAAATAGCTTTTACACACATACAAAAATACAAATCTCCTTCCTCTTTATATTATTAGTATATTATATGTTTGTATGTGTGTGTCAGCGTGCGAGCAGACGGTGGTGCGGTCGTTCCCGCTGTGCGCGCTGACGCGGGAGAAGGCGGTGCGCGCGCACGGCCCGCAGCTGGAGCCGCTCGCTGACGGCCTGCAGCTCAGAGCCGCCACCTTCCAGCTCATCAAGGTAACATTCATTTACCTTTTACCGTATGTATTTCATATCAGAATTGACAGAATTTTGACCTACTATATGTTTAATAGTCTCTTGTACGAAAATTATAGTATATTCTTACTATTTTGAACTTTTAATGAGGTTTACTCGAAGCAATACATTTAAAAAAAATTATAGACTTGACATAGGAAACATTTTTTACCGGTAACATCTTTGAAAGGTACTATGTTGTCAAGTTTAGTACGCCACCTCATATTTACATGTGGCTTTGGGCATCTATTATTAGATAGCGTTAGTGGATCATGTGAAAAATGTTTCAAATGTTAATTATGCTTACTCAATTATTTTTAATCTTTTGATTCGAAGTTATGTTAAAAACTAATAAAACATTACATGTTTTACGATCTTTGTTGAAATGAAGGTATCCGACTCGAAGGACCATTTGTATAATGTTCAGGTGGTGTTGGACGAGGAGGTGAGCGGCGAGCAGGCGGAGGCGTTTCGCAAGCAGGTGGCGCGGCTGCGGCACCCCGCCTCCGCCGTCATGCACTTCGCGCTGGCGCCGCGCCCCGCGCCCCCGCCGCAGCTGCACGCCACCAAGCACCACACGCTCAAGTATACACACCCTCCCCTCATACACGAACACAGACACAGAAAAGTAGGAAAAGTTAATCATATATTTTAATACCTAAAATTGAACTTAAAAGTCAAGAATCGTAATTTAAAAATAGTTTTTTGGTATCATTATAATAATCATCAAATAATAAACAAAATTGTTATATTGTGCGTGCATTCACAATAACGTGTGCCTACCGCAAGAAGGCGCTTAGCTCTTGTCTTTTTTTATTTAAAACTGTTACTGTTATTACTATGTATACGTAGATCTATTTCATATTTTTAAATATTTAGCAGCTAACTGCAGTACCTGTCGTTTGTTTATTCTACTAGCGAAGACTTTTTATTGGCTTTCAGACAATCTAGTTTATAATTACTTTGGTTTATTCAGGCTTTAAGTCTTCCATATTTTAAATAAATAATCATTTGTCGTTTTGTAAATTGAATACTGTGACTATTCTGACCTATTTCTACAATTTTCTATTCCTACTGATTTATTTACTTAATATTGCAGAGGTTTTGCAAAGAAGACTTTATTAAAAACAGCGCGGCGTGCGGGTTTAAAGCCGAAGCCTTCAAAGCGCCAGAAGTACGTACTGCCATCGGCGGACGCGCGCTCGCTGACGTCACCGCCCCTCATGTCCTCGCTCTCCGCGGACACGCTCTCCTGTGAGTGTACGTCGCTTTGCTTTACATGCTTTGGAAGTACAGTCGGGGAAACTCACAGTGTTCTACCCCAAAAATACAGCAGTAATAAAATTTTGTATGGGGAACAATAACCGATAGGAGAGTTTTAATTCGTGTCTGTAAGAAAAAAAAAGTTTGGTCAGTAAGTACACGAGGCAATGTTTTTATAAATGTAACACCGCGAGTTCCGCGACTGTATATGAGGTGAAGAAGTTTTTTTGAGCTGTTTATTTCGCTTTATACATAAAAGCTATAACATTTCTTGTTATTTAGTGAAGTACTTTTGATGTAATTTCAGTGGAGGAGCTGGAGTTGGGCGGCGCGGAGAGTGCGGAGCCGCCGGCGGCGCGGACGTTGGAGCGCGTGCGAGAGCGCGTGTACGCACGGGACTGGGCGCGCCTCGGCCTCGCCAGCGCACCCTTCAGACTGACACACGCTAACGCCATCTATACACTCTGCAGAAGGTAAGCAATGTGATAATGTATAACTTATAAACGAGGTTTAGACTAATCGCCGTACCCTCGGCCACCTCAAGCCAATAGAAGTTGTAAATGCTTCAAGACAAACAGTGTCAAATCAGTTTAAATATACAATAAAAGTAAAGAGATAAGCTTCTATGTGTGTAGTTTATATCAATTTCTAATAAATTCGACTTATATAATGGAAAATTCGTGATACTTGGCTTTGGTCCTTCAAGCAGGATTATCAACTGCTGGGATATAGCTTAGAACCTGTTTCTATTTCACTAAATTATTGCTAGAGCTTATATGGAGGTTCACTACCCAATTTTTATTTGTGCAACTAAATAGTTGAGGCTGCGAAATAATCGACAATCGCACGACAGTAGTGTGATAGTTTAGTCAAAGTTGCTCTGAATGCAGCTACCCGTGCGTGGTGGCGGTGCCGGCGGCGGTGAGCGCGGCGCGCTGCTACCGCCAGGGCCGCCTGCCCGCGCTCACCTGGCGACATCCGCGCACGCACGCGCTGCTCGCAAGGTACACAACTAGCTTTCGCACTAGACTCCGTTCGCGGGGAAAAAACTTAGGAAGTCAACACTATGTTCGACATCTGTACCAAATTTCATCCTGATCCGTTCAGTCGTTAGTCAGAAAACTCTAAATGTAAATCTATCTAAACTTTCGCGTTTATAATGTTAGTAATATAATGACCTAAATTGTTTACTACAAAACGATTATATTGTTATTATAAAATAAAGTATGTGTTCTACTAGACAATATTCTACATCTCATGTATCTTTGGCATTTATATTAGCTTTTCTCTCATTAAATTCAACCCTTTTTAATATCCCAGATCGAGTGCTTCTCATCATAAAGGCGTGATGGGTATGCTGAAGGGCAGCAGTCATCAGACGCCGGGCACCGCGCAGAGCGGCACAGAGCCCACCTCCAGCTTGGAACAGGTATACGCGCGCTGTCACATGTAAACATGACGTAACAGTATCTAAAACTTAAGATATTATGGTTGCTAGAGGTGGAGTAGTTCATACTGTGTCGCCCTTCCGAATGAACAAGGGTACGCTGATGATGATGATGATGATGGTATATTACCAGGAGCGGTACCTGATGGCGCTGATAGCTTGCACGCCGGCAGGACGCGGCGAGCTGGAGGCGTCCCTCAGCCTGGAGTCCCTACTCCTGCCTGAAGACCACCACACGCCGCTGCTCGCTAAAGGCACCGGCACGCTTGGGTTAATATCCCCCCTCAAATAATACACCCCCCACAAATAGTACATCCCCCCATAAATCATATACTCCACCCACGAATGATACATCCCCCATAAATTATACAATCCCCCACAAATAATACACCCCCGTCCCTCCCTTATATAGGAACCAAATGTTGTAAATAGTTAAAGAAGAACTCTTTAAAGTAGTTTTTGAATAGTTTTCAAAAATCAATTATTGATTTGGGCGGTTGAAAGTTGTATAGAAAAATTAATTAGTGGTATTTTCCTTAATTACAAGTCGTAAAAAAGCTCCATGTCGTTAGGAGTCGTTAGGAGCTTTTGTTTCTTAAGTATTAACGATGTCAGGGTGTTGGGGCGTAACAGTGGCGGCAAAGGCGGCGCTGGGGCGGGGGCGGGGGCGGGGCGGCACTTCGGCCGCTGGGGCTCCCTCAAGGACCGCCGCCAGCCGTCGCACCTCGAGCTCTACGTGCCACGACAGCGACTCTCTACTGCGGATCTTGATTCTGGTATGAATTATGACTTAAATAAAGGTTTCTTGTGAAATTAAGACATATAAATGTTCAAAGCAGTTGAATGTTTATTCACTAATTCAGTTTTAACTTCTGTTATTCCTTTATTCAATGTTTTTTGCTATTTGGATCTCTACAAGTAAGAATTAAATCCAAATAATTTAGTAATACGATTGTTTTACGTATGTTTTCTTGCAAAATCTATGTTACTCAGTGATAATATAGCTTTTTAATAGTGTAAGATTTGTGAAATCGGTCCAGTAGTTTTTTAGTTATTCCAATCCATAAAAAAATACAAATCCTTTTTATAATGTTGGTATAGATAAATTAATATTAATTTTATTTGTGTGGCAGTGTGTGGCGAGAGCGGCGGCGGGGGCGGGGGTGGGCGGCGCGCGGCGCTGTACGTGGTGACGGAGAAGGGCGGGGCTGGGGGCGTGTCGGGGGGCGGCGCGGAGGCGGGGGCGGTGCAGGCGGTGCCGGTGGAGTACCCCGACGCGCGCGCCACCAAGCACGCCTTTAAGAAGCTGCTGCGAGCCGCCGCGCCCTCCGCGCCGCCGCACCACGACCACCCCGGCTTCCTACGGTCAGTGATACCCTATGTCTAGTCTTAGACATTAAAGATTGTATAATTCTAGACATAGGTGTATAAAGATTAGACATAGGGAACATTTTTATAACACCGATACTTTCTCTCAAAGGTACTATATCAGTAGTAAATTTTAGTATGCCTCGTGTCCTTATTGTTAAACATTTTACACAACTATAATAAGCTTCATCTTTTGTTAGAAGCATTGGCAATTAATTTCAATATTGATTATATTAACATGTGGTTTGAGAACCTATTAATAGACAGCATTAGTGAATCAGGTGAAAAATATCTCAAGTGAAGTGTTAACTATGTTTCCTCTACATATTTTTTGACCTCTTGCATTTTAAACTAAAAATATAAATCTAATTGACTAGTCACATTTAGAGTCATTGAATAACTTTCTTCCCAAGTTCGATAAGTTATATAGTTAAAATATTCCTAGAAAGACATATTTATAAGTGCTGGTACATTTGTGGGTGTACAGTCTGGTGGAGGAGTCAGGATGGCTGTGGCAGCTGCGGCAGCTGTTCCAGCTGTCGGGTGCGGTAGTGGACCTGCTGGACCTGCAGGGCTCCTCCGTGCTGCTCTCGCTGGAGGACGGCTGGGATGTCACCTCGCAGGTATACCATAACACGTTACAATGGACAATTTGTATTTGTTACTATACGTGCCTTAAGTTGGCATACAAGTGCCAGCTACTGGCAATCCTTGCTTTTTACGCCATCTAGCGACACATATCTTGCGTTTTTTCATAGCAGTATTTAATTTTTTTGCAGATATCTTCGCTAGCGCAGATCTGCCTGGAGCCGTATTACCGCACGCTGGAAGGGTTTAGGATCCTGGTGGAGAAGGAGTGGCTGGCCATGGGGCACAAGTTCCAGCAGCGCTCCAACCTCGCCGCCACCCCCCAGCAGGGCTTCACACCAACATTCCTAATGTTCCTCGACGCTGTGCATCAGGTACAGACTTTTTTAATTTTTTCTAGTGGCTGACCTTGAGATTTATCTCACGTAGAACTAGCTTTCCCCCACGACTTCGTCTGCATGGAATTAAAAAGTGAGTGTTTATATATGTGTTCTTCCAGACTATCCTCTATATCTGTATCTAATTTCATCGAGATCCATTAAGCAGTTTGGGTTACAAAGTCTAACAAACATCCCATCCATCTAAACATTTGCATTTACAATATTAGTAAGATTTATAAGTGTTTTGCACACGACACTGCTTTAATTTTAAGTTGCTTTATATAATGGTCTAAATCGCATTTTGAATACCTTCACATAATAACCTTTTTTAATATTCAAATGCTATAAGAGAGTTGACGTATGTTTAAATTACTATGGCCATGTCCAACCAAATTGTAAATTGTCTGTTAACAATCGAACGTGTAAAATATGTGATGGAACTATCGTAATTTGTTACCTTATCTGACCATTTATAAGCTGTCTGGGCCTTTTAGTGGTGGGACATTCCCTAAATATCGAGTATTTGTCAACAGTTATTGAAGCAGTTCCCGCTGGCGTTCGAGTTCAACGACTTCTACCTGCGGTTCGTGGCGTACCACAGCGTGTCGTGCCGCTTCCGCACCTTCCTGTTCGACAGCGAGGCGCAGCGCGCGGAGCTCGGCCTCGCGCACGCCGACGACCGCCGCCCTGACGCCTGCAGGCTGGTGAGCGCCTCACACTGGACTGGGACAAGGATACCCAGTTCCAGTACTGGGTTAAGGGATACTAGCGATATATTGTAAATTGTTGATTTTAGCGCCATCTTTTGTCCAGTGCCTTGATCTAACGCTGGTATTGTAGTTTGTGGAGAGGGCGCTGCTATCGTTTGGTTTTGTTAGAAAATAGATGTAAAAGATACATATATAGATATAAAAGACTAGCTGTTACTCTGTAAAAATAAATGTAGCCTATGGGTACTCAGTCATAATATAGCTTTTAATGGTGAACGAATTTTTAAAAACTCAAGTAGTTTTTGAGTTATTTCAATACATACAAAAATACAAATCTTTCCTCTTTATATTAGTATAGATAAAAATGATATAACCGTCACAGTATAAAAAGAATCTTTTTACGCTTTTCCGACACTGACGGGAGCTCGTTAGCTAGTGGGCTGTCATAGTATAATTTGGCTTATGCCTACCGGATCAAATATCTTTCATGGTGTATATAGTGCTGTTTTATGTATGAATATAATTGTGTGCAGGGTGTGGAGACGGGCGCGGGCGGGGCCGCGGCGGGCGGCGGCGAGGAGGAGTGCGGGCGCGCGGCGGCGCATGGCGTCTCGCTCTTCGACTACGTGGAGCGCGTGCACCAGCGCACGCCGCTCTTCTACAACTTCCTCTACACGCCCGACTTCGATAACCCGGTACCTACTGCTGGACTGCTAGAACAACTTCTCTTGAAATGTACACTCCAGTACAACATGAAAATATTCTGTGCAAGAGCGTATGAGTGCGTCTATTTACATGTCTCGGGAAATAAATGTTAGACTTTTTCTTTCCAACTTCTTTAAAAAGACAGAATGGGAAGGAGGAGTAGATTTAGCGGGGAGTGGAAATACAATTTTTTCTTTGCGTCACCTCCACGTTTAAGATAGGCAGCGCATGCAAATCAGATGATGCGGTGGTTACTTCTCTATTTGAGAAAACTTTAGTGGTTTCTTCGTTTGCCAACTTATATTACAAAAAGAAGAATGACTGACTGTTTTGAAATGGTGTGCGTATAGGTGCTGCGGCCGGTGTCTGCGATCAACTGCCTGGAGGTGTGGGAGTACTACGTGAGCGAGGAGCTGTCGCACGGGACGCCGTACGAGCTGGAGCTGGCGGCGTGCGGCGAGCCGGAGCCCCGCGCCGCGCGCCGCGTGCTCACCGCCGGCTACGACAGCGTGCAGCGCTGCTTGCCCGACGCCTTCAGCGGCCTGCTGGAGCGCGTGCGCCAGCTCGAGCTGGAGCTGGGACATCTGCCGCAGAAGTGGCGCGTGCGCTGGGACCAGCTAGAGCTACCCAACACCCTGGAGTTACAGGTACATACGACTCCGACCACCGCCACCATAGTATGACAGCACGCGAATATATGGACAGCAGTCGCTTGGTCCTTTTGAGGAATTTCAGTCGCCACTTATTTTTTTCACGTATTAGGGTAAATATGAAAAAATAACCTAACACCTTAACACGTAGTTCTCTAAAACATAACAAATTATAATTAGGCTAAACATTCGAGTAGTAGTTGTTATTAGTAAATTGTTCTAATGTGCAGTTAGTCAAAATTTGTACAATCCCGTTTTTAAATTTATTTTTACTACTATGTCTTTATCTATATTATCAAAATAACTATTACAAGGATTTCCAATCCGATTAATTGGTGATCGTATTTATCAAGTTATAAAAAAATATGACTGAATGTACAACTGTACTTTATATTTGCAGCGTAACGCGTCGATGTGCAGCAGCGTGGTGCGGCGTGCGACGGCGGCGGCGCACCGGCGCAGCACGCTGGAGGTGCTGGTGCGCGGGCTGGCGGCGGCGCCCGCGCACGCCCCGCACGCGCCGCCCGCCGCGCCCGCGCACCGCTGGGCGCCCGCCGCGCACGCCGCGCCCGCGCGCTGCGACCACTGCGGAGATCTGCTCTGGGGACCACTAGAGGTACGCACCAAGTTATAGCCTCCCCACTCACTCTTCTATTTATTTATATCTCCTTTCTCTTTCCTACATTGTATGTTTGTTCTCAGAGCGGCGTGCGGTGTGTGGACTGCGGCGCGGCGTGCCATGAGCGGTGTGCGGAGACGTTCTCGCTGCCGTGCACCAAATACAAGGCGCCGCCGCCTGACCGCGACCGCGATCTGCGCACCAACGTGGCCAACAGTACGTATACGTGTACGCACACACTACGTACGCTACGTGTGCTACACGTGCTACACGTCCACTTTTACTACATGCGCTAGTAGTGCTACTAGTGCTACGAGTGCTACATACAGAACGCTACATGCGCTACGTGTGCTAAGTGTGCTACGTACGCTAATTATGTTATATGTGCTATGTTCGCTACGTGTCCTGCTTGTGCTACTTGTGCTACGTTTACTACTTATGCTACATGCGCTACGTGCTACATAAACTTGTATGTCTGTTGCAGGTGTGGCGACGCTGCAGTCGTCGTCGCAGCAGTACTACGAGCAGTTCTCCTCCAACGTGGCGGAGGACCGCACGCACGAGGGACATCTATACAAGCGCGGTGCACTGCTCAAGGGGTGGAAACAACGGTACTGTACCTATTGTGTAGATTTATAATCGAGTTCAATAGAAATTATAATAAACAAATCTAAAAATTGTATTACTATATCACTTCTCACTAATGTTATAAATGGGAGAGTTTAGATGGATGCATGTTTGTTAGAGCTTGCAGCCTAAACGCCTGAAAGGATCTTGATTAAATTTGGCAAAGACGTATAGCATAGTCTGTAAGACAACATAGGCTACTCACTTTTGCTTTTTTGATCCAGGCGGACGGAGTCGCGGACGGAAGCTAGTAATGTAATAATGAACTTAATAAAAAGGATACGTTTGCACTTTACCGATCAAAATATCATAGACAATGAATTACATTTTCCAATGTTACATGATTTCACATTTCCAATATCTTGTATTATTAATTGAAATAGAACATAGTGCAGGTGATCTTGAGCTAAAAGATAATAGACAGTCCTTAACAAATTATATTGGATATTTATTATATTTCATTCTAAAGCTTTTTTAATATGATTTTCCAGTTGGTTCGTGTTGGACTCTATCAAGCATCAGCTGCGATACTACGACGCGATGGAGGACTCCCACTGCAAAGGATTTATTGGTAAATCAGATTTACGATACTTTGGGTCTGTCCCACCAAATTGTAAATTGTCTGAAAATAATCCAATGTGTAAAATTTGTGATAGAAATATCGGATTTTGTTAAATTATCTGACAGTGAGTGATTGTCAGCTGACAATAACGTCACTTGGCCTATCCCAGGCCTGTCCCACCACTGTATGATAGAGCTCTACCAGACAGTGGTGGGACAAGCCCTTTGTATTCTCTGTTTAAATACAATAATGATATTGTTTTTGTGTGTGTCAGACCTGGCGGAGGTGATAACAGTGACGCAGGCAGCGCCGGCGCCGGGGCCGCCCAAGAAATGTGACGACAGATCTTTCTTTGATGTGAGTTGCAATTTATATATAATGAGCTCTCGCGCGCAAAAATCGTTAGCGCGGATTTAAAAATTTTACTGTAATGTTAAATGAGAAATAATTGTCCAATTTTGTATTAATGGTTAAATGATTTATTACAGTTACGAACGAGTCGACGGACGTACAATTTCTGTGCGAGCGACGCGAACGCTGCGCAGGAGTGGATAGAGAAACTGCAGGCCTGTCTGCAGTGAGCGGTCTCTGCGGTCTGCGGACTGCAGTGAGCGGTCTGCGGCTGCGGTCTGCGGTCTGCAGTGAGCGGTCTGCGGCTGCGGTCTGCGGTCTGCAGTCTCTGTGCGGACCAGACCGAACACAGGATTGTAAATAAATTTCTGTCAAGACTATACACATTGCAGTGTTTATGATTTAAGTTGTACACATGCCATCTCTTCCTGTTTCTTTAAAGAAAAAAGAGACAACATGTGTTACTGTAATCGAAACTCAGATTGTTTTTTTATGTTCATTAGATATTGAGTAAATTGACGTAAGCTTTGAAAATACCTCAAAATTCTTTAAAAGCAAAGAAATATTCCAAATTAAAAAGCATTTTCTAATTTTAATCACGTAACAGTCACAATTACTTTGGCGTTGGATTTTAAACTTTATGACAAAAAGATAAGTGTTAAAATTAAATGAAGCAAAAGGGAAAAGATCTAAAACATGGAAAGCAACAATCTTCCATTTAATTTGTTTGCTGACCTTGAGATTATTTTGTCATTAATTTTATAAGTTGCATTATTTATCTGTCTGTACATTACATACTATATTTTAAATAGATAATTAATTTTTTTTATATAAAAATAACTCTTCACATATATTTAAAGATTTCTAAACAATTATATTGCGTTTCCATAAAACGGAATTATACAAAACTCATATAATTGAGGTTAGAAATGTTTTTGTATGTGTTCTTGAAATATGGAAACTATTTATGAGAAATCTTTAGATTTTTTGTGAAGTGTTGGTAGTCTACGCTAGATTTAACTATATTATATTATTGTTACGTTATGTAAATATTTTATTATTAATTGTTGTGTAAAGTCTTCTGTTTTACTTTTTTTAATACATGTTAATCGCATTTATATTGTACCCGTGGCCTGACGTGTTTATAAACATACAGAAAAATATATTACCTCCTTTTGGGATTTCAAAAATGAATACAATATATTGACTGAAATTAATACAAAAAAAAATAGCACACTCAGAGTTATTTAGGAATTAAGGAAGCTCCTACGTTTAGATTTAAGCTTAAAGTCAGAGGTTTTTAAATATTTTGGCTTGAAATTTCGTTCTTACGCGTAGAACACCATTTTTAGCGTATAAAAAGCGCAGATGATTTTAAGCGGTTGAGATATTTAAAAATACGCATAGTTACAATAGTTAAATACTAAAGTATCCCTTAGTGAGGGAAAACACTGATAATGATTATTTTAGCAGTTTTTTCAAGACTCTGAGTGAAAAATTTTTAAGGACTGTGTTATCGCGGGCCGCGGTCACCCGAGATATAACAAGCTTTATATCATCACAGTGTATATGTTTCTTTGTATGTTACATCGTTGTTGTGTTAGAGTGGGTTTACACTGTCCACTTGCATCATATTGCTATCTCTTCAATTCTCTTTGACAAAACAAAGACGGCAATATTGTACAAGTGTGAGTGGAATTCTACGTTATTACAAGAGATGTTGGGAATCTCGAGATTTTGTTATGTGTAACGTTTTGTATATAGGACTGTTTGTGTTGACATATCACATGATGCGGGGTTTATTGTGTTGATTATTGTGCGTTTACATTGACGAAACAACAAAAAACATGTCTCTTCTGTTGGGATAAACTTTTATGTTAGAATACAGTATGCATGAAATCTATGACGCAGAAATAATTCAAGTAAGAAAAATGTGGAATACATTACTCGCTTATGTAAAGACAAAATCAGTTAGACATTTAACTATGAATGAAATTTAGCTGAAATAAGGGTTTTTGTTTACTTTGTGTTAGTAAAATCAATTTGGCAAATCAAAATTTACCGTCCGTTACTAATCACTTTCCAATGTATTTTCAAAATTCGCTACAAATTTGTGCCAAAACGCATGATGTGCACTAAATTTGCTCAGAATCATTTCGTACAAAATTATATTAAAAGCTTTATTTATTACCTCACTTAGTCAATGAACAAAGGGAGCCCCTTGTTTGGACTCTTGACTCCAAAAAGGGCGCTCTGATGAACTTTTAGAAATTCATAATAAGTTTTGTAATAAAATACTAAATTATTTAAACTAATTTTTAAACTATCCCTAATTCTGCAATGGACTGTATAATTCACAAATATTTTTAAGGATTACAAGCTTGACGACCAATTTAGAAAATCATTTAGTGCCCTCCTGGTTGACCTTCAGCTGCTACCAATTAACTTAGCTGCGTAATTACTTTCTCAAGGATTGACAGCTAGGGTCACCTGAAGACCCTGACTTTCAGCATAAGGTTGTTTACTTGTAGAAACTGGATTCATCACAAAAGTGCCACTCTAACTTCACGCACATGTTTCTGTAACAACCTTACTGACTCACTAAACTCATTCAATATCCGGCTCGAAGGACCATATGGGCTCCTGACTCCAAAAAGGGCGCTCTTATGAACTCTCACAAATTAATTGGTTTTGTAATAAAATACTAGTTTTCCGTGACTTATTTTGTTTATTTGTGACAGTTGATATTTTCTTTTTTCCTTATAAAAGCGATACAAACTCATTAATATAATTATAATTTTTGCCGAGAAATTCTTTATCTTTCTTAGTGTAGATTTTAATAGTTAAATCAACACTAAGGGAGATCATTTGCAATGTGTGGGGCAGTAAATCTTGTCTGACATATCTTATCTCTTATGCTTATGTTAGCTTCGCTTAGAGCCGCCTTGGCCGCTGTATGTCCACGTGTCGTGTTCGTGTCTGTTCGTTGGTAATGTTGAGAAGCGCAGAATGTAAGCACTGTGTACAATGGAATTAAACGAGATTTTTAAATTGATAAGAGTTTTCATTTTTATTAAACGCCGAAAAAACCCTTTCCCTTTGTCCCAACCAAAGTTAGCTCACCAGTTAAGTTTTATTATTTTTCGCAGTTTGGAAACTAGATGTTAATGTACAGCAGTCCCACAAACTTGAAATTTTGAACATAGAAAGAAGTCAACGTATAGTCAGAAAGGAAAAAAATCCAGAAATTTATTAAGTTTTCAATTTAGAAATGTAATAACCATTTTAACTTAACCTCTAAATTTTTCAGTATTATTAGGTAGGGAAGAGTTTAACTTACTGGTTTTTAAATACTTAAATTAAGTAGGATAACATGCGAAAAGAAGCGAGATCCCATTTTTATACATCTAATCCATTGTTTTTTGACATCTAACACATTTTTGTAGGAGAAGCGAAACTCGGCATTTTTTATAGTTTTCATGCGTGGTCTGGTGGATAAATAATAAATAAAACAACATGGATCATGTGTAACAATTTTTATTTTACCAATATTAATAATATATTAACATAATATGTGGTCCATAGCCACCCTCTCTCTGATAATATTATAATACAATGAATTTCTCACAAGTGGTCTTTGAACCCATAACAAATTAAACAAATACATCTACGTCTAGTTTGAAACTACCAGCGACCAACATCGCCAGTCGCTGGACGAACTCAAAACGAAATAAAAAACAGGAAAGAAAAGATAAACATTCGTTAATATATTAACTATCAATATTTAACCTAAGCGGGGCGGCGCTAGTGTAGCGCGCTTAAACAAGAAATTAGCACCTCCGAGTCAAAAAGCGGCAATTTGTATAAGATCCAAAACAAATCGTTAGGCCTCGTCTCGCCGCCAGAGGGCCGCCGCCCCGCAAATATACATTTATATACAATGGGAAATAAATATTCTATATGCAAGAAGATACATCGCGTATGTACACCGCTATCACAACTGTACACCCTCGCCGCGGACCAGCCCAGCTGACATTTGCCGGCTTCCATCTCAGAAACATCCTTACAGAAATAAGTATGTCTATTTTCTGAACAGAATGAAAGTGTTCGTTCTTATGTTCGACATGGTGAAGAAAATCACTTGAAAAAATAAATACTGTTGAAAAAATCAAGTGATTATTAGTAACAAAGTCAGCTGGCCCAGTCCGCTCTGCTCCGCCCACTCTCTGATATTGGCGTCAACTTTTTGGCTTCGCTAATGCTCCGAGGCTGAACCTCGACTCTAGGGGACATAAAACTCTAACCGTATTACTATTGCGATAATATCCAACTCAATACTCCCGGATCGTAATAATAAAATTTACAACAATTCGCATACAAACGTCACTAAAAATTACAAAGCATTTTTTGGTTTCCACGTTAACAAATAATTTTTATCCAAAAATATGTCCGTAGCGTCCGCGAGCGAACGTATTTATAAAATGTACAAAATCGTTCGCAACAATATTTAAAAACCTCACATTAAATGCGTCAAAAATACGAAGTTCGGTGTTCGATGTGTCGATTGAATCGATTCATAAGGCAGCTTGACACGAAAATCGAATGAAAATGCGTAAAAAAAAGTGTATTTTCGCCCAATAAAATAATCGTTAAAAAATGATTTTATAAATTTTGCGAATAATTGTTTTCAACATTAAAAACAATCAAATTTAAATTCAGTTACAATTATTGCTTTGTTTCAGACATAAGATGCGGGTCACTTTGTTAAAATAAATACACCGAGTACATTTCTACTCTTCCGACGAAAATAGTTACATCGCTTTCGACGGAGATGTCACCTTTTTCGTCAGATAAGTTGATTACTATAATATAAACAACGCGGGCGATGACACTGCTAACGTATCCGTTGTCCAAAATGTTTCGTGTTTCAAATACTATGATAAAAAGCATTTTATCACATAACTTTCATTGTTACAGTGTTTTGACGATAGTTTAACAAATACGATAGCGGACAGGTACAAGCTGCCAACATATTTGGTGCCCCCACTGCGCCGGTGCCCCCACTGCGCCAGTGCCCCCACTGAGCTAGTGCCCCACGGGCTCCACGTAGTTAGCGGGGTAGAGGCCGACGCGGCCGTCCTTGCGTCCCTTGCACCAGCCCTGCTCGTCCTCGTCTTCTAGTTTTTCGAATAGATCGCCTGAAAATAAATAATACAGAAAAGTTGCTTTATTTATTGCCCTTCTGTCTACTTCGAGTACAAGTGACTGTGGGCTTTATTATTATTTATGGTAAACCTAATGTTAAAAGGTAGATACTATTGTCTACAAATTGAATAGCACAGGTCTATTTCAATATATGGTTCGATCGTCTGAACAAATTGTAGCTATAGCTGTCTCCTTTTAAACACTCCGTCTGATTCATATGAGTATACAGCTGTCTCTGTCACTCACCCTGCCGGAAGCTGAGCTCGTCGCTCTCCGCGCCGGTGTAGTCGTAGAGCGCGCGCACCGGCACGCCGGGCTCGCCCGAGTCCTCCAGCGCGCCGCCCTCCTCCTCCCACTCCTCCTCCTCGAAGGGGTTCTCCTGCCGGCCCTCCCCGCGCCCCTCGCCCCGCCGCGCCGCCTCGCCCCGCCCCTCGCCCCGCACGCCCTCCTTGCTGGGGGACGTCTTGCCCGACTTTGGAGCGCTCGCTGTGCCATTCCTAATTTAAAAAATTGATTACTACAAAATTTTAACTTTCGCCGGCGACTACGTGTGCGTTGTATTAAGAAGTAAGTTGCGCATGTATTTCAGAGTATTTTCCATCGCCAAATTTCATCGAGATCCGTTCAGCAGTTTAGGCTACAAACAACGAACATCCATCTGAACTTTCGTATTTATAACATTAGTAAGAAGTAAAAGTACATAAAATAACTTCGTTTCATGAGTTGACTACTATTATTTGTAGCAAACTAACTCGACAGCTGGGTTTATCTCTGTGATGGTGTACAGCGGCAGCGCGTCCGCGTTGAGTGCGAGCGCGCGGCGCGCGGGGCGCGGGCCGGCGTGCGCCGCGCGGCAGCACTTCGACGTACACATGAATATATCGAGACGCTCTATGCTGGAGATGGCAGGGTACAGGATTAGGATAAGGGAAAGGTAATGATTAAGGAAGAAGTAACTATTCTCGTGTGTCGTTTCAACGTCAAAATTAAATAGGAAAACGGGAAATTCATCGCTGTTAGTACGAAAATTCTTTTTACTTTTTTTTTTGTAAAAATTATAAGGTAAACACAATATTTTAAAAATACCATACTAAGATTTGTATTTTTGTATGTGTTTAAATAACTCAAAAACCACTGGGCCGATATTAAAATTTCCTAATAAACAGCATATTTCATGCGAACGAAGTCGCGAGCAACAGCCAGTTGTTACATAAGTCAGAGAAAGCCAGTCTATGAAATTTGCCTTTGGTGTCTATGGGGTATGTTTGTTGTGGAAGGGGGGATGAGAAGTGAGGAGGTAAAGGGTGTAATATTGTGTACTGACGTGACAGCGATGGGCGCGCTGATGGTCTTCTTGTCGATGGTATTGTTGCCGCTGGGCGTGTTGTGCAGGGCGACGCTCTGCGTGCTGTTCATCGTATCCGAATGGTTCGCGTTTTTACTCGTCTTCGTTGAATTTATCGGCGGCAACTCCTGTTTTTACAAAAAAATAATTAATAACTTTTACTGGATAAAAGCATTAACTTAAAGATTATTGACTTTAAAATTAACTTAATTTCAAATTTTAATATCTTTAGCTAGTAATATTAAATCTTAAACTCATAATACTTTAAGTATATTAAGTTCTGAATTCTTCTTCTTATCAAAGTTATTTAATAGTATCTTCGCATTTTAAGCAATATTTTATAGATTTGTGTTAATATTCAGTTGTTACTAACGTGCCAAAATGCAAAATTTCTAAAGCTACATCCATCATGCAACATTTATAAAAAAAATAACATAAAAAGCGCAATAAAATATAGATAAAAATGAGAATGACCCACTACCAGACTAACTGAGATCCATGCATGAGTACGGCTACAAATTATTACTCTAAAATTATCCTAAAAAATACACAATTACAATTATTCATAATTTCATGAATACTAACCGTGTCATGTTTATGTTTCATTCTCATTTGAATCTTTGGGACTAATCACAGTGACATGAGATTTGAGAAATAACTTTACAGTTGGCACAGAGACAATGTGCAAATTTAGTTCGTTGTAACGTAGAATTAACGGGGGGAGGGCACTTCATCGTATTAGCAAATTTTCACGTCTGTATTACCAAAAAAATAATAAAATGTTTTCTTTGGTATACTGTGTTTAGTCCCTTTTGTAAAAAAGACTTCGCTCAAACAACTATATTTTACAATTGTAACAGAAATAGTTGTTTTTGCGTTGCAACATGAATGGATACAACTCGTACCAATTAACTGTCAACTAAAGATTATTGAATTTCCACTGTCATAATATTGTATAACAATTTTACCTTCCCTCTCATCCTCTATATAAAAATACAGAGATATTGTTAAGAGAGTTGAAATTAACTATTATTAGTACGAGTTGTGTGTGTGTATGTATGACGTACGTCCTCGCTGACGGGGCGCTGGTTGAGCAGCGTGATGGGACCCGTGGGCAGGCTCTCCTTGGACTTGCCCTTCGCGATGTCCCGGAACTCCTCCGTGTACTCCTGGTGCACAGCACGCGGTCAGCGGCCAGCGGCCACCGCACGCGACACGCACCCGCACACGGCAGGACATTGCCAGTTTACATTTACTCATGTAAACTTCGATTTAATTTTGTAAACTTTACATTTAAAGGTGTAAACTTTGTCATTTTACATTTCAGACTGTAAACTTTGTAATATTTTTTATCTATCCAATGTCCCACCGTGTCGTGTCGAGGCGATAATTAAAAAAAAAAACAAAATGAAAAGTAACAAAAATCAGAGGAAACAAAATGTAAAAGTTCCATACAAAGCTAGTGTTTATTAGAAGCGGATTGCGGTTGTTCTGAGCTGGTTCTGGCAAACCATGCGGTGTTGCGACTGTGCGGTTGCATTGTTTTTGAACATGTTTAATATAACAGTTTATTGGAACCTTAGTTTCTTGTCTCCATCACATTAATTTCCCGTGGTGGGGGTGCGTATGAGGGGGTGTCGTGAGGGTGCACCTTGGACGATCTGGTGCTTTGCTATATCCATCTGATCATCACGGGGTGACGTGTGGCGTGCTACACCATTCTCACATTTCTTTTTTTTTTTAGTGCACATGAACGATTTCGCAGAGTTGATTTGGGAGATATTTTTAAATCACTTCAATTACTTTTTTCGTGATACCATTTCCTGTTATTGGCAATATCGTGGTATCTGTTTTTCTCATAAAGAGATATTTAGAAAACTCTACTATTCATTTGTAACACGTGCCTTGTCCACTCCCGCCATGGGTGCATGTCTGCCCACACCGTGTTCTCGTACCGGTATGAACATGGGGTTGACATAGCAACCGTCGTGTAGGCTGTAGCTACAGATGGAGGGCGCCACTCGTGACTTGCTGTCCTCCCCTCCGAAACACAGCCGGAGGGGGAGGGCGTCCCACAAGGAGGGCAGCCGGGGGCGGAAGGCGGCGATGCGCTCTAGCGCTGTAGAGGCCGCTAGGAGGAATGCGAATCGTGCCTCCGGATCCTCCGTCGAGGCCTCCTTGCAACGTATATTCAATCAGACTCTACTCTTTACTCATTGGTGACACTTTCTATAGTCATATATCAAAATACCCTCACGAACGATTGCAAATATTTTTAAATTTTATTTCTAAAAAACAATAGTAAAGTTGTGAAACATGTTCCAATATTTGTTCAAATGTTCGTCAAATCTGGATCGAACACTCTCAATATTGACTCGTTAATCGGCTCAGCACAGTCCGCGGGCGTCTATCGACGTGTGTTACAATTTAGATATGGACCGGTGAATAAAAATGATTTAAAAACAGTTTAATAATTTACCTTAGAACTAAATAATAGAATTCATTACTTCAACCGGTCCAACTATGTTCAAATATCCAACTATACAAAAGCCTATAAGTCTAACATGCTCATAATATCCGCATCTGGTAGCTTCTAGAAAGGGTAAGAATAGGGGGCAAAAGAAATAGAAGCAATCGAGTTAATACATAACAAACAACATCGCTGTTACTATATAAAGGCGGGTTCACACGTGCGTAACTCTGACGAGGTTCACGATCTAATCTAATGAGTGTTCTATGTTAGGTGACCTCGTCTGTTAGGCACATGGGGGGTGTCGGGTGGTGTGGGTTACCTCGAACTGCGGCCATGCCATCGCCATGTTGACTCCGTGGTTATTCGCCCACCATTTCAAATCCTTTTGGTGGTCAGCGTTGTTTATCGTATGATGGAATTCTTCGTATATTTGTGGTAAACTGGAAAAGTATAAATTACAGTATACAATACAATTTTGATCCTTATTTCCTTACACTAAAGTCTATAATATATCACTTACGTGGGCTCTTGACTGATATTTAGGCACTTATGGAAGCTGAACAGCACGTCTTTGAAGAATGTTAGTCTCTGTGCTTCCATCTGTTGGCAGCGCTCGAACACCGCGGTCATATCCTCGATGTACCGCGGGTTGTAGCCAGTGATCTCAGCCAGCGCTGCTTGGTACTTTTCGCGGGACTTGGATACTTCTTCTCGACACTTCGATACGCGTTCCGCCATCTTTTTAACCTGGAAATGAAAGTATTTTGGTTATGTTGCGGCTCAGAAGGCTTAATATATTCACTAGCATACGATATAGGGTGTGTGCTTTAGCATACATAGGAGTATGGGAGTCTTAGAGCGCGGGGGGGGGCGCACTCAAATAATAAGAAAAACTAACAATTCATCAAAATTATTAGGGGCAACTCAAAATAATTCCATATTGAGTTTTTTTGAGTAAAATAACTATGACAACAATTGAAACAGATTATAAAGAGACCTTTGATATTTCAAAGTACAGTTAATAAAAGTTACATTTTGTTCATATCTCGACATGTGTTAAAATCTGATCAAATACTAACTATTATTTCACAATTCTTTGCTCAATAAAACATGATTGAGCACACGTTGTTTCTACATTTATTTATCACATCTTGTTAATTAGCAAATATGGAAAAATATTCTAATTTATTATACTACGAATTTACGGAAATACAAACAAAATGAGCACATACATTTGAATGAAACAGTAAATTTTAAAAGTACTTTCATTCGTACTTAGCATTCTAAAATACAGGAATAGGGATATGTTTTAATCACGTAAATTATTTAAATAGGCGTGAAATTCCAATTCCTGAGAGGTGTAGGCGAACGTGGGCGTTCATCCCTCGCTGTACCACTTCAATTGAAATGCCACCCCTAATGATGAATGACAACCCTGACGAATATCGAATTTCACTATACATGAAACCGAATATAGAGATCTATAGGGTTGTCAAAAATTATCAAATTAATTTAGCGACAAAAATTAAAACGTAAAAAACATTGAGAAAACTAGCTGCAAATATGTCCTGTTTATTAACAAACAATCTAAAAACTTCTCACAGATATATTTTTGATATATCGGCATTGCCATTCTCATTAACACGTTTAGCAACAACTAGCAGATAATTAATATTGACAATTTCTTACCAAAATCATTTGCTGTTTGCAAACAAAAAAATACATTATTCAGCACAATATAAATAAAAAACTGTGAGATTTTGTGTGACACAAAACTGCGGACGGGATAAAAAAATCTATTTTCTAATTATCATAGATAATACAATAAAATAAAAAAAAACTAATATAAGCATAAAATGTACATACAATCAATTGTTCTATAATGTTGTCATAATATGTATAAATATTATAAAAAGTGCATCACAAAGAACGCGTTTAGTCTGGGCGGCGTATTATGAAAAACACTGTTCAGACAAAAGGTTACGCGACCATTGTGGATGCGCCGTCCTTCCGGCGTAACCCCAGACAAGTGGCGCTTCACAAAACTGAATAGACATTACGCCAGGGCTGTTCCATAATACATCAGTTTAACAGACTGGGATGCAAGGTATAAAGGTAGGAGGCCTCATTTTAGACCATATCCTTTGTCACCATTTTCTTATACGGTAAGGATGGGAAGGGAAGGATTTGACGGTGGAGGAGACGAATAGGACGCATAGAGGAAATATCCTCTTCATGTGCCTTTCCTTCTTCGGTGAAAACAACGCAAAAGTATGGAGATAGGTTAGTCTTGTAGCGCATAGACTACTAACAACCGAATATTCCATTGCAATTTTAAAGTCTGACTGTGAGTACGTATGACGCCCAGTATTTCGCCGTTAGGTTTAATTCAGTGTAATTATTTAAGAAAAATAAACCGGTAGAGTATTTTCTAGTTTACGCTTATGCGGGATGCTTCAAATTTAGTAACACGCGCAAAGTATAAAGTTTATAACAAGCTAGTTAAAGCTCGGTATTTCAATCGAAGCGCAAAGTTAGTGGCTTAGGAAGGATTTAAAGTAAATTTAGTTACTTTAAGTTGCGAACGTAATAAAGGTCAAATATAATTAAAATTTGTACAATATTTGCAGGGAAAACAAGGGATTCGAAGACAATCAGATTTTTTGTTAACACAGGTGCGCACATTATCTAATAACTAGCTTTTTCCCGCAATTTTGTCGGTGTGGAATTTTAAAAAACTAAAGAGGCCGAATTTCATCGACATCCGTTCAGCAGTTCAAGCGCAAAAAATCCAACAAATATTCATCCATCCATCCAAACTTTCGCATTTATAATATTAGTAAGATTAGAGGACGGTTCTCTCTCATAAAAGGTTTATTTAATTACTGCTTGTTGTGTCAACCCTATAGTAATACATGTGGCTATACTTAGAAGTCACTTAGTTAGATTGACCATGCGTATTCAGTGAGGGGCCCTTTTCACCCCCTCAAGTAACACCCGCTGAGGTTATTGTTTCTCGCACGATTTCATCACGTACACGTCAATACTCATACAGAGATTGGTTAACAAGATTTTTAATTGAATTCAATAAATAATTTAGTAGCTTCAATCATTAGTTTCCCTCTACCGGAATACTTTTACAAAAACGTATTGTCATCTCTACTTTTTCAAAGAGATTGAGTGAGACAGCGATACTTTCAAGTACATGTATTTTGACATTGGAAATCCAGGCTACATACCTAGAAATACGCAATAGATATCTTGTTATTTGTCGAGATTTGAAAAATATTTTATCTTATCTGTGCAACTCAAATATGTCTTCTTTTGTGGTCGTTGGATTAGTGCTGTGCTCGCATTCGGCTCAAGGTTTATTACGACTGCTTAAAAATATGCTTGAAAATTATTTAACTACTATGAAGTCATTTTTATTATCTATTCAGCGAATTAGGGCTTATGTTGAAAGAGTAACTTTTGGAATTAAGGCACATTACAACTTTATGAACTACATTTTGTATCAATTTAAAGGCCTTTTAAATTCAGTTTCTTTTTCTACCTTTAATATGAATTTCAAAAGACTTGAAATGTTCAGCATAAATAGTATTTGGAAAAGAGAGAAGGACCTTCAAGACACACAAATTGACCCAATCGGTAGTGTAAGTTGGTATATTATTCTTCACATAAACTAATCCCTTTGAGCTGTGTGCATCGTACTTTCAGTCTGCTAGTATGCAAATTTACATGCATTCAGAGATTGCTAATCAAATTGATTTTGGTGGAAAATAGTAACAAAATCGGCTGCTACATTAAATACCTTAAAATATAAGCGTAGGTACTAGATAAGCCTCGTATAAGCCATTAAAGTTCTGCGGAGCGTGTGGTTAAAGCGGCAAAGAGATTTTCCGACCAGATAAATAACGTGGTAGTAAAAAGCCACAAAGACGTAGACTTGCAACGAAATTCAAACCAAACCGTTAGTAATTTATGGATGGATTATTCTAGTTTAGGGTAAGGAGGTATAGGAAATGGTTCTTTCTGTTCCTTCTCTGTCAATTAAAGAAAGATATTAGAAAAGTTTTATTTGGTTTACATTGCTATTTTGCTAAATTAGGCGCATGCTTGTTTGCTACTTTCTAGTATAAACACACGTGAAAAGACTGCATGTTTTACTTTTGAATTACGTGATTATAGAAAATGAGGTAATTTACATGAAATTGTTACTATTAGTGTGTAATCGTATGTAAATGTCTGTACTATAAACATTAATTTACAAAATAACGTGTTTCAATTAAGGTCAGTTATTACCTCTGTATATTGACTCTTCAATATCACGCAATAAGTGTTACTATATTCAATAAAACGAAAGTAAACTCTAATTGCAGATGTTACAAATCATACTAAATAAATGCCAAAGTTTAGATGGATGGATGTTTGTTAGAGTTTGTAGCCTAAACGGCTGAACTGATGTTGATGAAATTTGGCATAAATATAAAGGTTATTCTGGAAGAACACAGGCTACTTGCTTTTATTTATTTTTATTCCGCGCGAACGGAGTCGCGGGCGAATGTTAGGTTTAAAATAAATAGAAAAACAAAAAAATAGATAGTTTAATTAACAGACAAATACATCAATAACTTTTTATAAACACAATTTTACATGTAAATTATAGAAGAAATAAAGTTTTAATTAGTATATGATAGAGCTAGTGTTGATCGAGACAGTGGTCCATGGCAAAGTGCCAACTAAACCTTGACCTTTGCATACTTCGAAGGTCAATACATTATACAAGATTTCTTTTGTTTTTAAAAACAAAGTATATTATAAAAGTGACACATTCTTAGCTGAATTACCTAGAGACGAAGTTCATTACTAGGTGTATATAAAAACTTACCCTTAGTGTAGATTCATATTTAATTTACACTAAGGGAGTGTCCCGAAGTGACTATTGCTATGAGTATTACTAAAAATGCGTTAAAATAGTAATCTATACTATTATAATAAAGCGTAAACACACATTTCTTTGTTGCTTAAGATGTCAGCAATTACAGCATATTTTTGAATAATTCTTTTTTTAATAAAAAGCCCCACACTTGCGTCACGCTTTAGGCTATATATTTAAACGCCATTAAACTTAGGGGGTAAATATTTTGGATAAAAACTCTAATGTGGGAAAGAGACCATAAGTTGCTGCCAACATCATGGAAGAAAGGTTGTAATTGAGAATTTGACAAATGTAAACAATAAAATAGAATTTTCATAATTTCATGAGGATGAAGCCGCTCGAGAACAGCTAGTTTCTATATAAAAGATATTATAACGCCTTTAAATAATAAAAGTTGTTTTAACATGTTTTCTACTTTTAAAACACTGCGCTGTTAACACAATAGTTTAAGGTTTTTATAGACGGAGCTCAAATAAAATACAAATAATGAGATAAACATTAAAAAGATAAAAACTTCAGGTTCGCTTCGGACGAAGTATTGTCTTTAAATAACAAGTAAAAACTGGGTCAGAGTTAACTGAAAATTTTATGAAAGGAGACAAGAGAGAAACGAGATTAAATAAAAATTGTAGAAATGGACATGCTTTTCGTATAAATAAAATCTTTATTACTTTTAAATGAGTTTAAGAGACTTAGTAATGAAACAAATAAGAACAAATTTTTATAACCTTTTTTTTATAACATAAGGTGGCAAACAAGCAAGCGACCGCTGTCCATAAACATCCGCAATTGCAGATGCGTTGCCTAC